AAAAAATTTCTGCTTGAGAAGCAAAAAGTAAAAATAAACAAAATTCATATAAAATTACAGTTTTATTTTATCACTGACTGGGGTTGATTCGATGAAAGTAAGGTTTCAGTTTTTATTATTACTGCCTACAATCTTACTACTCACTTCAGTTATTTCTCAATAAAATTTTTCTAGCAAAGTAAAAGTTAACCAACAAATCTGCAATTGTTGAATTAAAATTAATTTTAGAACGTTCTCAGAATGCAGTCTCTGTTGTGCATTGAAAAGACAGGAAAAATTAATTTGTTAGGGGTGAGGAGTTAATGTTAGTGTTACTGACAATAGGACTATAATATAATGTACATGCATTGCTTATAATTTGACTACAGAACAGTTTTACAAATCATTTCACTATGAAAAAATAATTAAATTACAAAGAATGTGATTATTATATTCATAAATTAAGATGAGTGTTGCTAATAAAACAAGGCGATTATAATACAAATGCACCGTAAATGATTTTATGTACAGGTGTAATGGATAATGGCTCAGAATTGTAAATTGGAGAGCCAAGTTCCATCCCAGGTGGGTACATTATGTTCACTTACATGCAAATATCCTTTAGAAAATGTGTGAATACACCTCTACCTCCCAGCTAAGGGTTAATTAGTAGGACTTGTATCAGTAAATCATTATTATCTTCCAAAAAATTCTTATTGTCTAAAAATACTTTCTGGCATAACATAAGCTTCAAGTGGTTGATAAGTTGTAAAAAAAAAAAAAAAAATTATCAATCAAAATAATTAAAAACAAAAACAAAAATCATGTCATTGCCATAAAATAACATTTTTCTATTTTACTTTAAATTAATTTCTACAAATTTATCATTGGTTGTTATTTTTTTTCAATTAACTTCCAGAAATTGGTGAATAGGTTTAATGAAAAATGTCTGAAATTGTAAGAATTACTCAAGGACATCAAAAATAGTTTTTAGTGGTTTTGCCTGAAACAATACAAGTCTAAAATAGGGTAGGGATTTCTCAATGAAATATACCAATTATTCTTGATTTTTTCTGATTGCAAAAGGAATTAATTTAGATTTAAAGAGAAATAAAGAAGAAAAATAAAGCAAAAAAGAAAAATATTCAAGAAATGTGATAATGAGTAATATAAATCTTCTTTCATGTAAGCAATCATGATCCTCCACAATTTCCTGTCTTTTGTTGCTCTCTTTCCCCTTTTTGTGTTTATTGTCCTTGTTTGCCATCAATTTACCCAAATTCATTTTGTAGATGACTTGCTGTCACCCTCTGCTTCTCTTGCCCTCACTGTACTCACATTATTATAAAGAAACTCAATATTTATCTATATTGATAAATCTTTCATAATGTAGGGCATCTGTGAGGTAGGTAATTGTTTACTTGAATTGACAAAAAATAAAAACTGCCTCCTGAAAAGGTTGATAATGATTTTAATCATAGTATACAGTATGGGCATAGTATAAGGTAGTAGATATTCTGATAATGGCTCAAAGTCTTCACCCATTTGATAATGTAGTAACACTCATAACAGTGCACCATCTGTGCCTAATTTTTAGACAGTGACATATACTGCAATAAGGATCACTGCAGTGAAAGGGTTCAATAGATGCAGAAGTCATATCATGGAGATGAACACATGATCCTTTTGTTCAATAAATACCATCCAAGAGGGGTTAGATAGTTGATCAAGTGGCTGGATAGCTATTTTAAAGAATTACTGTTCAACATGAATATTCTGACACCTGTAGACCAGGTTCAGGATGGATAGATTATATATAAAAAATACATAAACGGTTAAACAGTTCAAGTTGAATCAGATCAAGAAACAGTGGTATTAAAAAAGTGCTCAATTCATGTGTGAAAAAAATAAAATAAAAGTGAAAATAACATGTAGAGCTTTTAACTTTAAAAATCAGGAGGTCAGTTGAATCTGCTACCTTGGTTTCAACCTTGTACTATCCTCGGGCAATTTTTATCAAATGAAATCTTAACGCTTAATTTAAAAAAAAACAACAACTAATGAATGCTATATTATTTAAAAATCAAAATCAAAAATCAAATGCACAATGTTGGGTGTAATAAAAAGGGAGGAGGAGAAGAAAACTAAGGGTGTTATAAAAGTATCAGTTGGGGGTGGGTACACAAGAGTCTTGATGTTTTCATAGTACCAAATCAATTACCATTTGTTTCTTAAAGATGGAACTTGTCTCCACCAGTTATAGCATGTTTGCTAATCCTCATTACAAACAGACTGGATACCTTAAGTTTTTGTTTGAGTCTTCTGCAAAATTCTTTTCAATGAGCACTTACTATAGGCCAATGGTTAGCAAGCTAGCTGGGTGGACAATTAACAAGAGCGCTAGGTTTGATTCTCACCATGTGCCCGACTAATTTAGCTTTGGGTAAGACTGATATTACTATCTAAATAAATTCTTTCAGAGCTCAACTCCAAACAAGCTCTTTATATTAGTCTGGCAACCTCCACCAATTTGAGAGTTGATACAAGCCAGTCAGCTACCATCAATCAAAAGAAAGTATAAACCTAACTTAAATTCACATCCATCAATAATATAGGTGTTTTTCTACTTAGAATTGTACAAGTTGCAAACTTTCAGATATATCAATAAAACCAGTTAGTAAGAGCAGATTTTGAATACTAGAACAGTTCAGACATTCAACCATTGTGCAATAGATAGCATTTAGCTGTTGAGCAGAAAGATGCAGTATTCAAAATTTGCTTCTTTTTGCTTTGTACCTTCAGGACATTGGCAATCATGGCTCTCCACAATTTCCTATCATTTGTCGCTCTTGATAAATTGCTTTTTGCCATCTATCCCAAATCCTGCTCTGTCATCCATTCACTCAAGCTCACTAGATATGTTGTGCATTGCTTTCCTTTGGCCCACTTACATTCAATCTATCCTGTAAGTATAAAATTCTCCAAGCCCTCTTTCCTCGTTATGTCCATCCTGGGTATGACGATAAACAATATCCGCATCCTGGGTGTGACGATAAACTACATCTGTGTTCTGGGTAAGACGATAAACTACATCCAACAGCAAGGCCTCTGATTTAGAGAACATGGAGCCACCTCTTAATTGCTGGTGATCCCAGGTCCACCCTGACCTGGGGTGAGAGCAACTATGGGTAAATAGTTAACCCCCAAACTGGAGTGAAAACATTATGTAAGTGTAAAAAGAGGTTTTAATACCAAAAATACTCTGTAAAAAAAATATTACCAGTATGAAGAAAAAATATTGCCAGAAATAAAAATTTTGTTGGTATCAAATAACCAATTGGCGTTGGTATGCTTTAAAACAAACCAAACCAACTGTTATATTCCATACTAATAGGAATATATACTTGAAAAACATGGTAGATAAAATAAGTAAAGGCTTATTGTAAAAACCAATACAATAAGAATAAAGGTAACAGTTATGCACAAGGTCATCGCAAGTCAATCCAGTAGTGAGTGCTACTATTGGAAGGTCAGTAGTTCTCACGTAAGTCTGAGTCGTACTCAACAGATCCCAGCTAGAATCTGTAATCTGTTGACATACAGATATTAGCTACTACCCATAGTGTAGTCACTCATGGGGGTGACAGGCTATTCCATTACATCACCAACCAAACCTCATTATGTATCCCAGAAATTTCAACTCTCTCTTTGTGACATTAAGCATAAATGTCCTTTTTGTTGCCATTGTCTCTAGAACTTTGTTGTTGCTCGCATTCTCAGTCTGTGGTATTCTCAAAACAGAGAGAAAACTACAAAAACTCCTATAGAAGGTAGTGAAGAAAAGTGAGAAGAAAGGACTAAACATCAATTGTAAGAAGACAGAATACATGGTCATTAGCAAAAGAAACAGTCTAACATGTAAATTACAGATTGGCAATACTGAGATCAAACAAGTCCAATAATTTAGGTATATGGGAAGTGTATTAACAGAAATTTAAAGGCGCATTGGGATAGGGAAAGATGCTTTCCAAAAGCTGAGCAAAGTATTAAAAAACAGAAAAATATTGTTTGATGCAAAGAAAAGAGTTCTGAGTGATTATGCAGTATCAGTCTTCTTATGTGACAATGAATGCTGGGCAATTTCCTTGATGAGCTCTTTAATATGGTACCTAGATTTAATGAATTTAAGCACAGTACTTGACTGGCAACTGGCTCTCATCAATTTACAATTGTTTTGGCTAGAATATAACTGCAAATTCTATGTTAGCAGTTTCTTTTCTTGCACTTCTTGCTTGTGGAGCACTCTTCTGGCTTCATGCTTTCCAGTTAACTTTAATCTTCAAAAATCTAAATGCAATTTTAATCGCAATGTGCTGCCTTCTGATTACTCTTCCTTTGTTCTTGCTCATTTGTAATGTTTCTGTTTTCTAATACTTCTACACCCTGTAACCCCTTGTGTCTTAGTGGCTTTACTCCCTTGTTTAGGGTGAACTTGCTTAAACAAAAACAAAAAAACTACACAGTAACATTTTGTTAGATTTGTTCACTAAATATTATTCATTACATGGTGAGCATCCAACCATCTAACATTAAAAAAGGCACTTAGTAAGGATCAAATTCATTAAAATAGTAATGGTCTCCAAAATGGGTTTGTTAACCATTACACTCCAAGGATTACTTAATCTGAAACTGATATTTACTAAATTTACTTAAGCATAGTATAAAATCTATGAGTGTAAGGCACTTAATGAGAAAGAATTTTTAATGATTTTTTTGTTTTGTTTTTTAATGGTTTATCAATCCTTTTCAGGTTATTTAAAGCCAGAAAATATTTTTAGATTGTAAGGTTTTTTTGGGAGATCCAAGTCCTACTAATTAACTCATAGCTGGGGGAGTAGAGGTAGATTCCTACCTTTCCCAAGGGTATTTGCATATAAATGAACATAACGAACCTGACTGGAATTGGGACTCAGCTCTCCAATTCCAAGCTGTTATCCATTACATCACCCACACATCCAAGTTTACAGCATCTGGTATTCCCAAGCAGTAACCTATCTAGGTACTGACCAGACTCAATGTTGCTCAACTTTGGTGATCATATGGGAACTGGTGTTTCCATGTAATATGGCCATAAACCAAAAAAGCTCTATTGAATGAAAATAAAGTAATGGTTTGTGAGGTGAGATTGCAAACCACTTTTTCAATAGCAAGGCGCTTTAGAGGGATTATATAAAAATACGGCCTAGTTTTAAAACAAGAAAGTAAAATAAAACAGTTCACAGGAGAAAATGAAGTATTGTGAAAATTTAGCATTAACAAGAAGAAAGTTTAATATATTTAAAAATGATGTGGTACTTTATGTTCTAAAAAAAAAAAAAAAAAAAGCAAAAACCAACCAGTTAGTTGGACACATTGTATTCAACAAGTTTATAAAAAGCAGCAATGATTTGTGTCTTTTAAAGCAAATGTAGGTTAATTTAAAATAATTCATCAAATAAGACCTAAGAGAACAATGTTACTGCATTCAATTTAATATATTGGAATGCAATAATTCAGTTCAAAGATTAACAACGTTCAATTTGTATAAGTAGAACTAATTAGAAACTTTCAAATACAAGAAAGTGGGAAAAAATTAATGAGTTCCATTTTTTTCTTTTAAAGATACATTTATTGAAAATACCTATTTTTAAAGGTTGAAAAAAAATGTAATGTAAATAAATATTGTGACAACTGATTTTTTAATTTTTTTATTCTTGTCATCAAATTAAATTAGAGAAAAGGAAATAGTGGCTGTTGAATATATGATGCATAGGAAAAGAGCATTTTTATTTGTTCCCAAATTGAACAGAATACAACTGAAACATATTTATGAAGAGTTCATTTGATCTTGATTAAATTTTGCTAAGTGCAGCAGAATGCCAAATGATGAAGAATTGGTGTGGGAAAACTGTATTGCACCAATATTCCAAATAGTATTAAGGTGTTTACTTCAGCTACAAGGCAGGCCACGAATATAGTCTTAATATTTATTAGCACTAAGTATAAGATAGGATAAAATATAAGAAGGATAAAAAGATTGTGCAGCACCAATTTTCCAGATGGTTGCCTTGAAAATCAACATTTCAAATAGTGATTTCCAACCTAGGCTCAAACACTGATCAACTATGTCAGCTTACAGGTTAGATGATAAATATAGTCATTTTATTTGTTAAATCTAGCAAAACAAAGCACAAGTCCAAAGGGAAATTAGATGGAAAGATTGTGTAACACCAATCTTCCACGTGGGGATAGAGAGGTGCTTGTTTTGAAAATCAGCATTTCAAATACTGGTTTGCAATCTAGGCCTAAACACTTTGACAGGTGGGAAATATGCAGCTATCCAATCTTCCAAGCAGCTCCCAAACCCAAACTAAAGTTTGGATCTTTTTTTTTTGCCTGTTTCATTACAAATTCATTTCTTTTCTTCCCCAAAAATATTTTATTGTCTTATGATTTATTTCGTTAACCATTCACCTTTCTCTTTCAGACTTTAACTCCACCCTCTTCTTTCTTCATCTGATCATTCCAAACTTTTCTCTTTCTCTCACCTCTGTCTTTTTCATTTTCCTCTTTATTAATTCTCACCTAACTCTCCTCATCCTTTCACCCCTCCTTTCATTGATATTTATTAAGCTTGAGTGTTATAGAAGAAATTTGAGGGAAGTAAAGGATTGAAGGCCTGACCTACACTAACATCCCAGGTGTTGGGGGGGGGGTGCCGAGAGAGTGTTAAAGGGAGATAACTGTGGATTCAAAGTCAGAACATTATCATTGATAACTCTCTCCTCCAGTTTGAAGAACCTAGTCACTATATTCTTAATATTTTATATAATGTAAAAGTCTCACAATGATAAGATCAGCCAATAATTATTTGTAACTATTTATACTGGGATTTGTGCATACAATTACAAGTAATCCATAATAATATTTTAAATTTTGAAATCATATTTATTTTTGGCATGAATTTTTGAAACTGCTTCTAAATCATTGTATTTCAATCAATCTGCTTCATCTTCTATTCTCTTCTGCCTCACATCTGAGATGTGCTGCACAATTTGGGAACCACTGATTTAGATAGAAGATAGATACTTCTGAAATATAACAGTGTATTACATGTCAAACAGGAAGTGGGAAATGACGGTAGAAAAAAAAAACATCTTCTATGACTGATTGGCTTAGAAAATAAGCATTTACAAGTCCTCTTATATTTGTTTTTTTTACACACTTACACCTGTGAAAAATATAGTTTGTCCAGAAAGGTTGAAATATGCATTGGCTTTAAATAACTGACATATGGTTGATAAGTCATAAAAAAACAAATTAATCAATCAATATGTCCAAAACAGATTTAGAAACTTTAATATTAAATAAAATTTAATTTTATTCTTGTTATTATCACAACATTTTGGTTGTTGCATTTCTAGACTTCATCAGGTGCTTGTTGATTTGGGTAAACTTCAAGGAATTTTGAAGTGAAACTTTTATTTTATTTATGGGAGGAGAGTGTTCTCATTCCACTTCCATGTCTAAAGATATTCTTAGACATGCCAGTGGAATGAGATTGGTCCTGGTCAGGCATCTCATCTACAATCACTTTCTCACAGACGTGCCGTTGCTTCCCCCATTCCTTTTCTAAAAGTACTTTCACAAGAACTGCTCCAACAAGCTATTTTCACTGGTTCCCAAACTGCATAAATTTAAGCAGTGTTACTAGGTTGGCATCTCAGTCTCACCCTTTCACTGGCAAAATGGTTAAATGTAGGATTCATGTCTTGCACTTCCCGTTTGTGGAACTCCCTTCCTCTTACTTGCTTCTCTGACAATTATGGTCTTCAAATATTCAAATGTAATGTCAATTTTAGCAATGAAAAATTGCAAGGAGCTAAATCTGAACTATTAATTTGGTGGTTGACTGATTTGAGTGATGCAATGTTTTGCTAAAACACACACACATGAATTTAACACAGTGTGCCAGTTTATTTCATGACATTTCACTGCTGACTCTGTAAACCCAAGGAAGAGTATTCTCACATACTAAGCAAGATCTCTCCTGATTAGTTACCAACTTACATCAAGGCCACACAGCCAGTTATTGAGATGTTCAGTACATAACTAATTTAACCATGATATAATATCTGTACATCTGTTTAAATAAAGAAAAAGAAACATGTCATGTGACATTATTTTCAACCAATCAAATCAAAGTAAACCATTTACATTTTTCCCTCTGTGCCTTTTATTTTGGTTCAAAGTGTTTCCAGAATCAAATCTTTCATATTATCAATGTTAGTTATTTAACAGCAATCTTTTTTTTTTCTCTCTCCTTTCTTCGAGGTTGAACATTACAATACAATAAAGTACAATGTTGAAAGAAGAGAATAGTGCCAAGGCTTAGAAAAGCAAAAAGGCAATAAACATCTCTGCAAGACATCCATTTTTATTTCTCCCTGTTGAAAGATAGCAACCCAATGAGACTGTCTGTGAGCTTTTTGTTGGGTGTCTTCCATTATGAAAACTGAATATCTTTTTACCAATCAACACAGAACGTTCAGTGAATGCCATCATGACACAATTTCATGACTCCCCTGTTCTTCATTCTTACCAAAGATGCTCCATTGCTGTTTTTACACAAAAAGTCAACAGAAACAGAACCAGTTAAAGTTTCCAAACGCATCTGACAGGTTAGCACCTCTTTATCAGGTTTTCTTATTGTTATCAGGGTTCTAAGAATGGTCATGCCACCCATAAATCTATTTTGGTTTATAATACAGTAAACTCCAGTGAGAGAAACTTATGAAAATTTATTGCATTTCTTCAAGCATATCAATGTATGTATGTCTGATGTCAGTCTATAACCAACACATTTGTTATAGCAAATGAAAAGTTTTGGTTCATATGTGTATATTTATTGATCTGGAGAAGTAATAAGAGTGCACATATAAATATTATTGATGATTTAAGTATATATTCAGTAAATATCATTTAACTGACAAACTGCATGCTTGCATATATATGACTGTCTTGACCCCCACCAACCAACTAATCTTTTAGGGTATCTTTTCCAGCAACATAGTCTAATGAATCATTCTCAGCGTGAATCTGAGAGGACTCTTTTTGCCTTACAGTACTGAGGGATGGATAGTTTTATGAGATATATGTATTCATTTGTCACAAGCTAAAATACACACATGACAAAGTAATCTTCCAAAAACAATGCAATGAAAGGGATGGGGAGTCTGTATCCCTTTAAAAACACTTGAAATATTAGTTTTTTGGTTTGGTAATTGTCAGTATATTTTGATTTTTTTAAAACTTATTGTTCTTTTCCAAACCGACACCTGAAGTTAGCAAAAAAAATAATTGGCTGAAATAATAGCACATACACTAAGCAAAGTATTCAAGTCTTGAGATCTAAAAAAAAAAAAAAAATGAATCATCACTCCTTCAAACATTTTTCTTTTAAGAAAGAATAACTGAAATGGGTGAGTTTTGCTTTGGTTAAGGCAAAACAAACAAAACACATATCGTCACTAAGTCATTCTGAATGAAGAAAATAAAAAAAGTACTAAACAATGTTTTTTAAATTCCATACCTTCACTATTTTTAAGTTAATAGGGATAATAGATAAAATAAATAAAAATAAAATAAAATAAAAATAAACACTAATCAGATTTGGCTAATCAAAAAGTTTGACTGGCTTGAGAGAAACTTGAATTTAAAAATTAAAACATTTATATTTTTCTTCATCATAAAAAAGTGCTGAACTGTGATGTAATGTTTAATCCTCATTTATGGAAGTGAATGCTGGACAATTTCTGTAGAGATGAAGAGGAATCTGGAGGCAAGAGAAAAGTGATTCTACAGAAGGATGCTGAGAATACCACAAATTGAACATGTCAGCAAAGAACAAGTGTTAAACAAAATAGAAACTAAATGTACACTTATACTTAATATCAGAAAGAGTTGAAATTTCTAGAGCACACAATGAGAAAAGAGAGCTTGGAGAATTTGATATTCACAAGACCTACTGAAAGCCAAAAGGAAGGGGAAAACAGTGAGTAGCCTACTTACTAAGCTTGTGTAAATGGATGGC